GGGTGGGTCAGGAGAGGTCTGCCACACCATGTGGTCACCTCCGGGGCAGGTGGGAATCGAACTCATGCTGAAGTGGCTTTAGATTCTCAGTGCAGTGCTTTAACCCGCTGCGCCACCAGGGAGGGCCCGGATCCTTTTCTTTTGTCTCTTCTCTGACTTTGTTTCCTCTTTTCTTTTGTGTTCCACACTGCCTCACCAAAACTTATCTAGGTAAAATCTACCATTACTTTTCTGTACTCAGGAGAGATTAAAAGCGGCACAAATAATGAAGATTGAGTCTAATGCTCCTCAGTAAAATTGTTGAGTAAGAAATACTCTTTTGCATTTCTTTAAATGATTAGAGGAAATCTTTAGGAGCTTTAGCTGAACAAATTCACAGGTCAGATTAAAACTGCACAAAGTGGTCCATTTCATGGACCACCCAGGAAAACTTTTTACTAGCTGAGGGGCAATCATGTCCATCAAACTAATTTCCAGTGCCAGCACTGGAAATGATCTACGATATTGATAAGGTTATTCAATCCGGTAACTGAGATATTCTTACATTTTATAAATTATTTTGTTTTATGATTTCATCTTTCATAATTTGTTTCATTACTAGACATTAATATCTTTAGAGTCAAATTAAGAAAACATCACTTAATTTTTAAAATCTTTATAAGTACTGGATACTTCTAGATCAACTACCTTCATAGGTATACGTTTTTGTTGCTTATATTAACATGGCAATAATTAGAAGCAGAAATCTGACAGAAGATATGATTTGCATAAATATTAAAAGGTTTACAAAAGTATAACTTTTGTGTGAAAAGTGTTAATTTGATTCATACTATTTGCTGTTCCTGATTGGAAACAGTTTGTGTTATATGAACAAGTGATTACAATTATTATGGATGACCCTTTAATAATGTGAGGTTAAAAATTAATTGGCTTTTTTAATTGTGTTCATAGTGTTGCAAAACGAAGGATGGGGGGTGTTTCCCTCATTTTCAAAGGTGTGTGTTACAGCAAGTACTTGAGTGTTAGTGTTTGTTCTATCCTATACCACTAGGCTGCTCTCTTTTAGTGGAGAATTAGCCGCTTCTAATTTTTGTTGTCAACCATTTTAGAACACTGTGGCTGAATTGCAAGGAGTATCTGGCAACTGCAATAATAATAACAACTATTCCCTTAAGGTTTGTTTTTTGGTGGAAAAAATGCTTATCTATACCTTCCTGCTTCATGTGTGAAATTATTCTATGTGTCTTTTTAACTAGCTTTATTTCCTGAAGAACTTCTCTAGAACTGTGTGTTTTATATGTTGAAAAATATAAAACATATTTGAAAAATAATGTTTAATTTTGAAGCATAACACATACTTAGACACAAGTGGTACAGCTTGTACTTAACTTCCTAACACTTAACCATGGATGCTTTTAACCCATAACACCAAATTTTTTGTGATTGGTAAGAAAGGAGCATGTGATGTTTTATAACACACTACACAATGATTGATATTATCCTTAAATTCAGTGTTTTTTTTTAATTGATAAAAGGCTTTTGATATGAATTTTTTTTTTAAAAAAACTAAATATATGTCTTTAAACTATGGTAGTGTATACTTGCACAGCTTATGTGGTAGACATAACAAAATGTCTAAAATAATATTATACTTTAAGTAATAAAATAATCTCAAATTTTAGTTGCCTTTAATGAAGACAGAGGGACTTTAAATGGAAGCCAAATATGTCTTTAAAGGGAGACTGATTTATGGTAATTAGAAGGGACTAAAGAATAGGAGAAATGGCAAACCCTTTTAACAACTTGTTTACAGACTAACTTGACTGCATCTTTAAAATCATTATGTTGAATTACATCCTTTTGTTTGTGACCTGCCCACCAGATCTTTAGTAGTGATAGACAGTACAGCATTATCATTGAAAGCAAGAATCATAAGGTTCTTGGCAAGTATTCTGTTGAAGACTGGACCCATACTAGATCTGACCTAAGTGATGTACAGGTCTGACACACTGACACAAACACACACTGTCTCCCCACAAAGTGGACAACCTCCTCTACTTTTAACGTTATCTCCAGAAATATTCTTTGTATATAGAAATATTATTTATAATGATCGCAGACAGGAAGATGGTCAGTGTCAAAGGAGTTAAAGGTTAGACTATGAACCTTTGCCTAAATGATATGATTGTTTTATGTTGCCCAATTTCTTTATTTCATTTTATCAAAATGCAATTGATTTGTACGTTTTCTTGTTATCGTCTTTCAAGCCACCACTTTTTGATGATACTCATGAGTCAGATCCACAGTAACAAACGTTATCAAATTTTTCTGTGCCTTTAAGTTCCTCTGCAATTATAGACTTTGTATTTTCTAGTAAAACATTCTAGAACAATCTTATATTACAATGACAAAACATCGAATATGCAGTGTTAAAAGAGATATCAAGGAGCAAGCACATAGAAAGGTATTTTTCCTTACTTTAAAATATTTAGAACAGTTTTTTTTTATGAAAAAGTTCTAACATGCTAAAACATGAGATATGGGTCATACTGGCTTGGGAAACAAATTTATTTTTGAGTGAACTATAGGGAGAGAATGTTTATCCCGTGCCTTTGTTTCTTCTAGATTTCTATACCTTAAATGCTTTTCCCTACACCAAGCCTTAGTTGCCCTTGTATATCCACTTAGTCATGTTCACCTTTGCAAAATACTTTGATTTTATGTCCTCTACAGAGATTTCCTAGATGCTCTCAGCTGGGCTAGAGGCCCTTTTATGAGCCAAAAGCACCATGTGTGTCTTTCTCTGTCACTATCAGTAAAGTTTCCCTGCAAGCTTATAACCTCAAGGACAGTCTTCAATAGCCAGTTGATTTTTAACATACCAGGGATGAGCACAGCACTAGCCAATCTAGTGGAAGCCAAGAAATTGAACTACATTTAATCACTCAAAGGAGGTTTAGATGAAATTGGAATAGAGTTAAATGAAGAGAAGGAACTTACTTAGGAACATAATTCTTCCATACAGATAGAAGAATAAGGCAGAATATACAAATGATAGCAACAGTAAACCTAGTGAGAATAGTAAGGAAATAGGGAAAGGACTGGAGCAATAATCTGTATCTTCCCTTTGGCACTTTTGACACTTTCAGAGAGTTTTTGTTACCAGATGTTAATTGTTTTGCGAGACCATACATTTATCTGATACTCCTATTTCTATACACTGACCCCAAAACCTTGACATGTGAAATGTATAAAACAATGAGTTATAACCTTGGTACACAAATCAGATAATGATGGAAAAAACTTAAACCCTTTCTATTCTGAAGATAATGAAAAAGAAATCAAAGCAAAATATTTTTAAGCCATCTCCATATAGGAGCTAATATTTCATGACCAGATTTAGTTTACAAATAATGCAAGTATGTTTTAATATTTCAAAATAAATTACTACCTACTTTGACATTGTATTAGAAGGCAAAAGAAGACAAAAGCAATACATTAGATTTGAAAAATAGATTGTTTTCACAGATGATGTGATTATGTTCAGAAAATCTCAAATACACTTACAGGTAAATTATTAGAAACAATGACGAGTTTTAACAAGTTTGCTGGATACATAATATAAGACATAACATCTATAGTAATATGTCTGCAAGCAGAGAAACATAATTAAAAAGTTAACATTTACTTGGTACAAGGCAAGAGCTATCTTAACAGTGGAAACCATAGAGAAGAACACAATTTTATTGAAGTGTATTAAAGAAGGCTTATATAAAATGACAAAGAAGCCCTGTTCATGGATTCTAAGACTCTATAGCTTGAACAGAGTCAGTTTTCTCCAAGTTGATTTTATAAATTCAACGTAGTTTCAGTAAAAATTCTGAAGAATATTTTAATGGATTTGGAAAGCTATTGCTAGAACATATAGAAAAGAACAATCATCAGAAATAACCATGACATTCACATGCCTTGGGAAAGAGATAAACTATAGTAATTTAGACATTGGGGCAAAAGAAATTGACAGGTTGGCCAAGGAACAGAGAAATTCTCACATTTACAAGTTTTGATTTGTTACATAGATAACACTCTAAATAGTTGACAAATAATTGGCTTTTCAATTAAGGAAAAATGGTGAAATTCAAATCACCCCCAACCCCCATCACCACCACCATGACTCCCGCTCACTCAGTTTGTACACCTAAAAGTTCATCCAGGTGATTAGTTACTCAATGCAAAAGACAAAACTGTACAATTTAGATAACAGTGTAGAAGAAGATTTTTATGTCATAAGTGTAAGAATTTTCTTGAACATGATACACTTAAGAAAATAAAATCATAGAGGAAAGAATTGAGAAAATTGATATTAAAATTAATAACTTTTGTTTATAAAAAATGCCTGTAAGGAAACAAAAAGACAAGACAAACCAAAAGTTGGAAAAATAATATGAAAAACTAGAGAATTATTTGAATTATTTCCATGAGCTAGTAAGAATAGACTGCACATGACCCACCAACTCGAACCCCTGTCATAGAAGTAGAAACCTCAATGGCCAATGAGCAAGTGAAAAGATGCCCAGCTATTTAGCATTCAGGATCTAATCATTGACCAAATTGAAATACCATTTAGTACCTAATTAATTGATGTAAGTCAGATATTTTACATTTTGGTGAGTATATGTATAATAATAATAAGAGGTACTTTTATTCTCTCTACGTAGAAATATGGATTTACTCAGCACTCTGAAAAACAAGTTGGAACTATCTAGTACAGTTGACTTAATTATTATAATTCCTTCTAATAAACATCTTAGTAAAACTCTTACCATAGAAGCTGTAAGACAGTTTTATAATATGAAATATTGTATACAACTGACATCTCTTTCAACAAGAGAATGGATAAATATTTCATCAAATAGTCATACAGTGGAATAATTACAACGCTGTTTCAGCAGCCCAGAAATGGCAGCATCTCAGGAGCATAGCATTAAAAACAAAAATACACTGAAGAATGTAAGCAACATCATTCCATTTATATGAAATATAAAATCATGTAAAAATAAATGATACACTATTTATATGAAAATGTAGTAAAGTTAAAGAAAAACTAAGAATGATGACTTTCAGCAGGATTACTGAAGGGTAAGTGATTGAGTAGAATCAAGAGGCAGACAGGGGGCTAGAATTAAAATGTAATGATACTGAACCTTTATTTGATCTAGAATGTTAGTCATTGGTGCTGGTTATTATTCATTTTTTTCATTACACCTTTTATACATTTCATAAATACTCAATTCAGTATGTAATGAAAAAATTAAATTTGGCTATCTGTAGTTGTTTATATTTCATAATTATGCAAATATAAAATGAATATGTCATTGTTCCTACTTTTCAAGGACCTATAAAATGACCATACAACTTAGTATCTCAATCTTGCCTCAACCTGGGAAATTCATGTTACTTCTTTAAAATTACAGATTTTCCCACCCAGTCTGATTTACTGAAACAGAATGTTCATTGTAAAAGGCCAAGGGTTGTAGGAGTTTGTGGGAAGGGGTTAGATGCAATCAAAGCTGGAGTTACCCAATTTAAAAGTGCCAGGAAAACTGATGTAAAGACCTTTAGTCCTGAAATTGCAGACACTTTGCAAGAAGGAATTGCTCCATGAACCTCAAGATAACCATAATGAGGAAAGGAGTAGAATTATTCTCTTTCAAAGAAAATTGTATGATTGAAATTGAATTTGTCATTAATCCATACATAATCCATAGAAACTCCATCAGTGGCCTTTTTGTTTGTTTTACTCCTGTGTTTATTATAAATTCTGTAACTATAATTTCTGGTCCCATTCAATGACCCATTAGCATTTTTTTCATAATCATATGAATCAGTTCGAACATACCGTATTTTCAGTAATCAGTTGTATAACTATAAAATTATTAAAATAATAGTAATACATGCCCAGTAATCACTATCGTTGTTCCCTTCTGCAGATTAAAAATTCAGGGAAATACAAATCTCTCAGTCTCTTCCCACAGTTCTGCTGGCATTAGAATAAGTGTTTCATTGTTTCTTTAGCAAGTAAAATGAAACTCAAGGAAGGCAGCCAATTTGAAATTGCAGTGTGACATTTGAATTACAGAGGTCTACTTTGGTCTGTTGACTATTTAGTTCTGGA